ATCTTTTTTTTATGTAGTAATAACTTCCAATGTCATTTTACGATACTGTGCAAAAATGTAAACTCAGAAAAGAATAAAGTTTACGATGACGGCTTTTATTAATCTATGTTTGTAACACCCAGAGATAAATGGAGGCTAGGGGAGGTTAATTAGTGTAATTCTTGTTGATAACTTTTATCTTAAGAGTTTTTAAGGAGGAAATGCCATTAGCATTAATAGCTGATAACAAGTATCTGGTTTACACACGTTTGTCTTGGTGTTGTTCTAATTATATGAACACACATCCCACATTCACACACACATTCTTCTACTTCTATACAAACTGAAGATTTTGTTTTGACTTCCATTCATTTTTTGGAACTGAATTTATGCTTAACCCAGACATTTTGCCTTACACTCATCAGTACTAGTCTATTTCTAACTGTATACTTAACCAAAACCTAATTCACACCATACCTCTAAATCTAATCTAATTTTGTTGACCATGATGGGTTTGTAAAAGCAACAAAAAGGTAAAACGTCTCAGGAATGAATACTTTATATTTGATTCAGCAACTCTATGGGGCTTATATGATGTCCTCACTTTCAGAAAGATGGAAACCTTGTAGACTCGAATGCATAAAATAATTTTTCCTGAAATTTACATTTCCTTAGATTCAAGGCCTTCAGTGATTTGATATCAGATTATGATGACCAAAAGTTGCTTCCACAACATTACAGCTGACATCTTTACCGTCTGGCATGTGTGTCAATGCAGAACTTGTGCTTCTGTAGAGGTGACACATTTGTTGATGACCAGTTTCTGAATCACATTCAATTAGTCTAATCCTCTTAATTTCCATGGAAAGTAGGCACTATGTATAGTGCCTACTTTAGTACAAAGTCTCTTTTTTCAAGGAATACAATAGAAGCAAACGAATTTAAATGAAGCTGACATAGAGCACATTGCAAATTCCACACAACATGGCGACAATTAATTTAATTAATTCTTGACATTATCTTCCAGCATTTAATAAGTTTTTAATTCAGAAATTAAAAACTTCCTGAATTAAGTTTGGCTATGAACTCATTAGGTTCATAGCCATAATTAGCATATGGCTATGAACTTATAAATTTAATTCAGCCATTCAATTTTAATTTTCAAATTGAGGTTGAAACTAGTGCCAACAAGCATACATTGATGATGATCAGTCATCAGTTGTCAATTTTCTGCCTTTAATTTACTCCGTCCTTTAACATTTTCTACTCTTCAGATAATTTGCATTTCCAAAATAGGCTGTGGGTCAACCCAGATGTTGAGGAGCCCAAGACAGATATTTGATACCTTAAGTATAAAAAAGGCAAGTTTTTCTAGTTCACATTATACCCTACTTGTTAATTTTTTTTTATTTCCTGCATCTTACAAAATTTTTGGCAACAGCTAGCAGCCAGCAAATGCTCCCACCGAATGTTCTTGGCTTTTGGTCAAAAATCCCTGTGGACAGCTACCACCCTCCCAAAAAGCTTCATGGAAATGGATCAAAGAACAACAAATCTGAACTTTAAATAATCCCGTCACTGCTTCAAACATGCTTTTTTTTCCCTCTTTGTGCCTTGCTTTAGGTGAGTAGTTTTTGTTGAGTTTCTTTCTAAGACATAAGTCCTTCAAACTCTCAGTAACACCGAATCACAGCAGGATTTGTTTTTATCTTTTTTTCTCTCTCATCTACCTGGTGATGACTTTGTTCTCTGGCACTTCAGCTATTCTGAAATCTTAAATGTTCCAGGAATTACAGAAAATGTCATTTAAATTTAAGAACTGACATTCAAGTATGCTGTTATGTTGCTTCCATCAGCTTGGAGGAGCAGCAAAAATGTCCATACGGTAGCAGAAGTGTAAAGGCACAATGAAGTCCAACTACATCCCAGAAAATTATCTTTGAGGGATGCAAGTCATCTGGTTATCATGATAAATTGGTGATAAGTAGGACACTTAACCATTGCCAAATTGACATTTAGTAACATATTCTTTTAGAATGGCTTATCTGGATCCTCTCCTGTTGGCCAATTCTACTTGAATGGGTCACTGACTCATGAATGGGAATGGAAAGATTAATGACATATAAAAAAAATAAAAATAGGGAATGGAATAACATTTTAGTCATACTTATGTGATTGACATGCACAATCACTCAACTTCTGCATATATATGTTCCAATTTTGACCTTTAATTAAGTAACTCCTAAATTCATAAAAGGACTTGTTTTAGTGTCATTCAAAGCAATTTCTCTCTTGTCTTTCAAATTTCTTCTAGATTTGGGTCTTCTGTGATATAAGAGGAGCAGTTAGGGCTGCTGTCTTTCTTTTGTGGCTCTTAAGTATTGGCTTTTTCCCCAAATTTTAAATATTATAGGCACCTTAAACAATTTTAAAATATAATCAATAATAACTCTGAAAAAGAAAAGCATTTTCAAGTGAATATTGATTTTGATAAGTTATTATAATGTGCCATTTAAGGAATATTTTACAGTACACCTGCATTTTTATATTGCACCAATTCAAAAAGAATGTCAACCCAAGGGACTTGACAAGACAACAGATTCAGATAATGTACCTAAATATATGATCAGTCATATAGATGGATTGAAGCCAGTTACAGTTTTCATCAAAGTAGACCATCAGTAAGTTTATTGTAACAAAAAAAATGCAGTTTCCTTTAGATGCAAAATTGAGTTAAAAGATTCTGGATTCTGGAAATAAAGAGAGAAGTAGTGTCACAGAGAAAAGAAAGTGTCTGTGTGTGACTTCAACAAATGAGCATAAATCTTAGTAGTGTAGTGGTGCTGACACAACACTAACACTCCTTCCCACACGGGCATGTGATTAAACACAATCTCACGCAAGCACACGCACACCAGATGCACGCATGTCAGTCCACCTTCAACAAGCACTGATGCAAATACAGCTTCAGCAGTATTTGCACCGGAACCCTTTTAAGCTAATGGGTTGTGCAACTGTGACGTAAGATGAGCTCATTGCAGTTCTAAGGTCTGGCTCCAACAGTGAGCATTTTTGAAGCATAGAAAATTTCTAAATAAGTTATTCTGGAAAATCCTCCCAAATTAAAATAATTGCGATTTTACAGTTACTTTTATACAGTGTTATAGAGCTGAAAGTAGCTTTTAATGTTTATGATGCCGGAAATGTTATTTCCATATTAATATTTAAACCCACCATCGTAAGGGTTTTTCTGACAGAGACATTTGTTGCTAATATCAATTGGGGTAAAAAGTTAAAGCATCGAAACAATATGCTTTTGGTTCTTCCCATGTATTCTTCCACTTTGACTTAAGCTGTAACTTTGACAATGAGAAAACAAAGTACAATGAGCAGATGTTGATATATGTCAACTGCACACCACAGTTTTGCAAAATACAATCAGACACCAACAGTTTTCTAATTAATAATAAAGTTTTTCTTGGTACACAAATTATTTTTAAAAAAAAAACATCTGCTGTATTAAAACAGAAAGCATTACTGACTATTCGCAGAACACCAGACATGTTCAGAAATCTCAGTCAAATTCCACAGACTTAGTTCTGCTCTTTGGTTAAAAGAAAACAAACAAACATACAAAAAAACTTCATAAAAACCCAATTATTTTTTGTATTGTAGGCTGAAGAGAATATGTCTGTGCCTGTTAGCTTGGAGTGACATTAGCTTTTTCTTTGATTTTGATTTTATTGCGTCACGGTTGGTGGAAGATTAAACTTGGAATGCTCTTCAAGTAGCTGAAATGAGAGAGGTTTTCCATTTAACAACCGGGCATCCATTTCCGTACATAAAATGGTGCAGTAAAATGTTGGGAAATCCTGGAGGCCAATTTGCTTAAATCTGCAAGACAAACATGGCATTTCCCTTTTATCACTTGTTGTTGAGTTGACACAGACGCTTGAAGATGCACAACAGACATCCATGTCACAAATAAACCCTTCTTACAGTCACTCACTGCCCACCTCTCCAGCTGAGGAATCAAGGAAAAGCTGACAGTCTGTCAGTGGATGAGCATATGTAGCAGTACATTGATGGTGCATAGACGTGCTTGTAAAATCAGGGTAACATTCTCAAGCATTTATTTCAAAACATCTAGTATGAGTCTTTTCAGGTCAGACATAGCAGACATTTAACTTGTGAGTCATTACCCTTCTTTTGAAGTACTAAGAAAAAAGTACTATTTTTGCATACAAGACCTTTTGCTATCTCATGTATGCAAAATCCCAAAAATATTGAGACTTCATATCAACATTAGGGGACAAAATGCAGAACTGGACAATCGAATTCCCATGACCCCCTCAGGAACTGCAGGCTGGTGGCAAGCACTTGACTTTTTGAGTGTTTTGTAACACATTAATATCATGGGCTTTGAGAAACCCATTTAAACCTGACATTTATGAAACTTTTATACAAGGAAACTGTAACCACTGTTACAAAATGGAACAGTGACAAAATGGAAGTAAAAAAACTCTAGGAACAAAAGCATCTTAGAACCACAAACTTCACTAACTCAAGTTAAAAACACAATATTAACAACTCAGTAAATGTGGTTCTGATTTATCTACACAACATCCTTATTCCAAAAGTTGTTGTGTGGTGCTGAGCTGAATGCAAGGTTGTGTAAAATTTCTAAAGTCTGTTTTGAATCATCCCATCACTTTTAGCATTGCACTGTCATCGTAAAAAATAATAATAATAAAAAAAAGACAAAAAATTCAAGGCACAACTGTCAGTTTGCTTCTAAAGGGGAGACCAGAAAAGACCGACTTCCCTCTGCACTCAAAGATTTTTTCTTTGTTTCAACTAGGAAAAAAATCTTACTATATTATTTTCTATTGAAAACACAATTCATGTCATTTGATATAAACATACAGTACATGTTCAGTATAATATCCAGACACAGATATGTGTCTGTGGGACAGAAGCCAGTGAAACAGATCTGACTCTCATTTGTAACCCATGTGACCGACATGACCCAATCACCTTCCCTTTAAGCCCATCCCTTTAAGTTCATTGTCATGTGTGTTTCCGGGTTGGCTGCTGCTCACTGTTGGTTGTCGCGTCCGTTGTTGATAAAACAACTTGAAGTTATAAATCGACTCATCACTCATTTAATCTAAACTCAACTTTGAAGATTTCTGGTGAGTTGTTAAATACGATCTGACTTGACATATTGTATTTGCAATAATAGCGCCGCTAACATTCCCTCCCATTGCAATATTCGCCCATTAACAGCTGGAACACCTTCCTGAATTGAACAAGTTACCATTGCATCCACCTCCTCAGACAATCCGTTACTCGACGGTGAGTAAATAATAGTCATTTACAGTAGGCCGTTACTTTGCTACGCTCCGCCAATTAGCATTAGCTACCAACTCGACAATCAGGGGCCACATCATTAGTCTATTTATGAATTATTTACTTAATGACAAGTCACACTGTTTCAGCCGAATTAAAGACTACCCCTTTAATACTTAAAGGTTTCCCTTTTAACTTTAGATTTGATTATTTTTCATGATTTCTTTGTTGGTGTTGTTTTTTATGCTGGTGCAGCAATGAAGTCTCATATCCAACATGATTTGTTGTAGCTACTTTGATCAATCACATTTTTAAATTGATTGATTTTGATTCAATATTAGTTGTTTGCAATGACTGCTAATTATGTCAATTAAGAAACTTTGAACTTGAATTATGAAGTGCACTTTTTAAAAGGATTTTTTCCTTATTATAATGAAATTGTCGAAACATAGCAAGTATGTATTTGTTTTATATAAATGTAAAATTTATATATGAACTTAATGTGGTTTTGGCCTTTTAGGTCAGGTTTTTTTTTTCTTCCGGACTCCTGCACGGATACATTGGATGACGGAAGATGGCGAGCTACCCACCCACCATCTGGTGGTAGGAAACAGAACTACACTTTCCATATAGGAACTGAACAGACTCTAAGGAGTATCAAAAAAAAAAAGGGAAAATAACTATTCTCCCTTCATTTTTGGACCTCTTGTGGACTCTATTAGGTTTTGAAGTGTCACTGACAAGTGTTTTGTTTGTTTTCTATTTCCCTGTTTTTTGAGAACTTTATTTATTTTTGTTGTTTTGGTATTATCATTATCATTATTATTATTATTATTATTATTATTATTATTATTATTATTACTATTATTATTATTGCCACTGCAATAAATAGCAGTATTAACAAACCTTTTTTTGGCATCAATTGTATTAATTATTCACCCAATCATGACTCCATGTCGTACCTACTTCTGATCTACAAACTGGTTAACACTATACCTTGCAGTCAGATCTGCGCATCAAAAGAAAGCGTTACACATTGCTAGTCCTTTCTTTTTCCCAAGGACATTCTGTTCCCACTGGATCGATGTTTTCAATCTGGTGATTACCATTTCATCACTAGAGGCATTATAATCAATAACTGTGATTACTGCTTTAAGGCATTTACATGTATACAAGATCGAGGATTTTAAAACACAACATCCGATTCCTTCTGTTTGGTTTCATAAAACCCTTTGATAGTCTTGTTATCTGTTTACATGTGGTAAACCCATTATGAGTCTTTGTTACAGACTCAAATTTATTGTTAGATTGAGTTTAAGATATTTCAACATGACTATTATTATTGATTACCATAGATATTAGTCTGTATTGCCACTGACTTCATTAAGTTGTCAAAACATATTCCATGTCTTCGATTCTTGTTGTGGTTTTAGAAGTGATATGAAAATAAATAATGGATTTCACAATCCAAAAGATATTAAGAGTGCCTTTTTCCAACACTGCGTTAAAAATGTTGCTCAGGTATGAAGATAGATTTATTCTGTAGACAGTCTGAGGTTGTTGTTCTTTTTTTTCCTGTTACCACAACACCTCCTAAATCTTTACTTATTGTGTTAATATGTACTTCCTGCTCCCAGCAGGTGCATCTGTTCAATTATTTTAAAGACAAACATCAAGATAAAAAAGAAGCCTATGCTACATGGTGTCTTAGGGACTGGCCACAGGTGGTCAGAATAATTGCAAGCAATGATGGCTGAGAAAAAGAAGAAAAGTACAAATTTTCCAAAGTTGCTCTTTGAAGTTATTCAATTGATTTATCTCAGAACATGTTTATACATTAAACAATGTTTTGTGCTGTAGCTTCAGTGATGTGATATCCAGGTACGGCTCCATCCACTGTTATGTTCACTTAGCGTAATGAATTTCTATAAGTGATAAGTTATTCTGCAAAATCCTCCCCCCCACCAAAAAAACAATAAATGGATTTTACAATTATTTGTATACAGTGTTATAGAGTTTGCTTAGTAGCTTTTAACATTCATGCTGCTGAACTCTGAATTAATTCCTCAGAGCTAAGGAATTGCAATATTTCTCATACACATAGAACATGTACTAAAACATTATAAGTAGCAAAATACACATAAACAAGCCATTATTCATGCTTCTCTTAAACATAACTTCCCCAGTGAACAGAACAATTTGTGTGTCCCTTATTTTAAAGAGTGAGGAATATTATTCAGTACCCTCACATTTCCACTCTTAACTGATTTTAAATTATTTTGCAATATGACTGTACTGAAAGTTTACCAGACAATATGAAACAATCTGTTCTATAAAAAATAAGCAGCAAATGGCTTCAAAACACTTTTCCTTTGTATAAACAGTTTGTTTGGTACAGATAACGTGCATCGATGATCCATTGGACATTGAACACCCTGAGGCCCATTAAGGTTTAATCCTGTCATAGTGTTTGGTCAATAATCCCAAAGTTGGCACTGAGGAAGAAAGGGGCTAATTAAAGGAAGTAAAAGAGATTATACAAAAAATGATCAAATGCAGTGACGTTACAGCACAGGGAAACATTTCAAGCAAGACATATTCTGCATTAATGCTCTTGTGATCAAGTATGTTGCTCCATTTACATACACACACACACACACACACACACACACACACATATATATATATATATATATATATATATATATATATATATATATATATATATATATTAAATATATATATATATATATATATATATATATATATATATATATATATATATAAATTCCTTCTCACCCACCGCGGGTGGTTCTTATCCTCTGAGCTCGGGTCCTCTACCAGAGGCCTGGGAGTTTGAGGGTTCTGCGCAGTATCTTGGCTGTGCCAAGGACTGCACATTTCTGGACTGAGATATATATATATATATATATATATATATATATATATATATATATATATATATATATATATATATATATATATAATTACCTTCTCACCCACCGCGGGTGGTTCTTATCCTCTGAGCTCGGGTCCTCTACCAGAGGCCTGGGAGCTTGAGGGTTCTGCGCAGTATCTTGGCTGTGCCAAGGACTGCACATTTCTGGACTGAGATGTCTGATGTTGTTCCTGGGATCTGTTGTAGCCACTGCTCCAGTTTGGGGGTTACTGCCCCGAGGGCCCCGATGACCACAGGCACCACTGTGGTCTTCACCTTCTATATATATATATATATATATATATATATATATATATATATATATATATATATATATATATATATATATATATATATTACTATCTCAGATAGTATTAACTCCTCAGATAAAAGTTAATACAATTTTTAAAGATATCATGCTAAAATCTAATTACAGGAACCCGATGCTGATAAGAAGCATTTTGCAGTTGACTGAGGGAGAAGGCAGAGTCCTATAAGAACCTCAGTCAAAAACTCTAATAAGTTCATTTTAACTTTGAAAATTAAATCCTTTCAAATATGCTTTTGAAAATCTGTGCTGAAAAGAAGAGTTTGAGTCTCTTAGGCAAACTAAATTTGCATGTTATCTGAATGACTAAGACAAAGTTGTTTAAAAGTAGCCTTGACAAACAGAATTCAATTTACTGCGAACAATTTCTTTCAGAATTTAGTCCCACGTTTTTTTCTACTGAGATATTTTCAAGAGGCTTTTGCACCATAATCAGCAGCAAGCAGAGAAAAACAGTTAAAGTTTCATTGTCTTTGGCCAAAAGGCCTTACAGTCAACTACAAAAATGATTTATGTAACTTTCTGCAGCATATTGGGGGAGCAGAGTTCACAAAAGTGACCTATTGCATAAGGATATGGCTTCTAAATCATGTTATTCCTTGACCAAATAGAATAGAGCACATAGTGAACTAATTATTCATACAATTTACAAGCACAGACATTTTCATTGTTGTCTTCTTCGGTGAGATCCCAGTCCCTAGACTCAACCCCCATCCCACTCTACCTGCTCCTCTGCATTTAGCGATACAAAGAATAAGCAGCTCTCACTGTCCACATGGACAGAACTGTGTCTGAAGCTTTAACTCTGCAACATAGTTGGCAATCTCAACTCTTCTGTCAATAAATTTTAGTGTTATTGTACTAACCAGTTAGCTGGAAACGTTGCTTTAAGGATCTTTTTCCTCAGTTATTTCCTATTTCTGTATTCATTTTATTCAGATTTTACATGAGTTGGAAATTAATCCTCCTGAGGATCAGTATGTGTGTCGGAGTGTAAGTCATACATTTTAGTTTATGCATGCATAAGTATGTGTGACAGCTTGTGTTTGTTGTGCTATTAGCCTGTAGGGATGCTTATAATGACTGACAAATAACTATATGTTGACGAGTCGGAGTCTAGAAAAAAAAAAAGCTGAACCAACAGTGAGCAGTTTCAGAGTTGAATTTTATACACATGAACATTGTTGAGAGAAATAAAAACAGCATGGATGAATGTTTAATCGGGGTGAGAGAGGACACAGTAATCCACTGAATAAATTGCTAATCCAGGCACAGGAATAAGAAGATGTTTGTGTATTTCAGAGTGTGTCAAGTCTGTAGCCTCACCTCTCTGTTGATCTGAAATCCAGATTCCTTCTGGCTATCTCATGTTGTTTTCACTCTAAAGCTGAATGGAAGAGATGAAAGAGAAAACAGTAAAAATTGAGAGTAAATTTTTTGGGTGTGTTTTTTTTTTCTTCAGAAAACTCAAAACCAGGATATAGAAAGAACTCATTTTACTGATAAGTAAAATCTTTTGTATCTTTTAAATAGCATAGACGGCAGCAGACAGTACACGCTTCCTCTGGACCGCTATGCAACTCATTGTGAGATGCATTACATATTTATTTTTTCTCAATGCAGCATGTCCTGCTCATCTGGCATCTGTTGTCTTATTGGTTTTAGCCTTACAGCACTAAAAATCATAATTTCCTATGGAAAAGCTGAATACAAATAATGCAAAGAAAGAAGGAATCTGTATTAAATTTACAGGTTCTTTATAATGTTGAATTGTCAGCTCAGTTTTGTGAAGCAATCCAGGGAATATGATAGATGCTGACATCAATATTTTAATCCACTTGAGCAAATTCAAAAATGTGAAGAGTGGAATTGCCTGGAAAGTCGGAGAGATTTCTGTCACAATGTGTTTGTTGGTGGACCCAAAATCCAGACAGCAGCTGGGAGCATGGATCACATTTAATGTTTTAACAAAACAAAAAAAAAAATACAAAAGACTTACAAAAACCACAAGGAGGCAGAGCCAAACATAAACACGACCCCAGAACAAAAATCCAGAGGAATAAAACAAGCAAGAGACAAATTATAATAGGGTTTAAGAGGAGAAACAAGCTAAGAGTGTGAGTAGGAGAGGGCTTTAAATACTCTGAGGATCAGAAAAAATAATCTAAGAGTAACTTAGACAGATACAATGAATAACTAAACAAACTAGAGCAACCGAGAAAGGATAGAGCTAAAGTAAAATGAAAACAAGGCTGATATCAAAAGAAGAACTTAAGGAACACAATAATAATGCAACTAGAAAATGATCAAAACTCCAAAACAACGCAAGATCCTAACAATTTCATTAAAAATGATATGTGTGTGTTGGGGTAACAATGAAGATGACCTTGAGGCCATGATGCATGAAGATTAAATTAAACAGAGGTGAATGTACATGCAGTGATTTTACAAATGTATTCCTACTAATTGAATTTATTCACTTTTTGTTGCAAGTACAAAAATATCAATTTATATTAACTCCAGTTAAATAGGACAGTCTAACTGGAAGTACTGTGATGTGGTATATCCTTTATCAGAAAATCTAGAAGTATTTTGTAGGTAAAAAAAATGTTTTCTACAACTACTGTACTTCTTCAAGTCTTCTGGTGTCGTTGTTCTTCGTACAAATAATTCATACTTGGTCTGATTGCAGAGTGTCTGTGAACATGTCTTGCCAAAAATTCTGTTAGACTTTGATTATAGACTTTAACAAGGCAATACAAAAATATAAAAAAGGTTTGATCTTAACCACTGATATACAACTATAACAATCGAGAGCCAGTGTCCTGCTTGTTTTAGGTATTCCCCTTATCCAAGACATCTTAATCAAATAAATTCTAGGCTAGCACACTCCTCTGGAACATGATGACACGTTGAGCAAATAATTCACTGGTTTGATTCGACTGGCTGATTATTTGTTTGGGGTCATTGGCTGCTGTGTGAACCTCCAGCCCCAGAATAGAGGCTTTTTACTGTTTCTGACAGGTTTTCTTCCTGAAATTATTTGTATTTTGCTCCATAAATCTTCCCATCAGTTCTGATCATCTTTGCTGTCCTTGCGGTGGCAAAGCATTCCCACAGCATATTGTTGTCACCACTAATCAGGATGGTGTGTTCAAGGTTGCGTGGCATGTTAGTTTCCAGCA